CAATAAGAAGGTGGGATTGGCAATCGCAGAGGTTATGTGGATACCGCTCTCCTGTCTGCCCTTGTCATTCCCATTCTAGAGCTGGTTGAGCACGGTCTGCTATCTTGTGGCTTCTATTTCTGCCTTGCTTACCGTGACGTGCACTATACTTATTACTGTACATAGTGTACATATTGCTGTTCTAAATTGGTGAAGGATAATATAAGTCTAAACTTTTTCTGCTGTGTTTCTTTTGCTCCCATTACACCTGGGATAACAGGCCTTTGAAATCCTAGGTTGTAATAGGATTATAGTTTCCCATAATCACTCTCTCGTAGTACACTTATTTTCGTGATGTATGCCAAAGTGAAACAAATAATTGATACTCTGACTTTGTCTGAGTTAAGTACATTAAAACTTCAGACGTGTTGGCGAGTAGCCAAATATCTCGGTGTGACGTATAACAGGAATTACACCGCAGAAACTGTCAGAGCGTTGATTAAAGATATATTGTTTCCTGCTCATACAGAGATGTCTGATTATGATTCAGATTCAGAAAGCTTAGTGTCACAATTAGGAAGTATGGCTCTATTTGATGAAGTAGAAGAAAGAGCAACTAAGGCAGAAGTGAGCCTAGTGTCTGAGCCTAGTGTAGCTCAGTTCTCGCTCACTCCTTCCCTCACTGACACATTAGTACAGAGTATAGCTGGTAGTATAACTAAGCCTCACGCAAGTACTGTGTATGCTACACCTGTATCTACTTATCCTAGACCAGATCTAGACTCTCTAGAGACGGCTGGACGAAGTGCCCGACCAAAGGACCGTCCAGACCACGTTAGATTCTTTACTCCTCCATTACCCACTGGTCCTATCTCTCAGGAACAGTTTGAGAGGTTAGAACATCTCATTATGTTGCAGACTGCACAAATAGAGTCACAGAGGAAATTGAACAAAGAAGATTTCCAGAGAGAAAATGTTCGTCAGGGAAGACAACAGACTGATAGATCACAGGACACATTTAATGTGCAGAAAGCTGCATCCATGGTTCCTAAGTTTTTTGAAAGTGACTTAGACACCTATTTTGATGCGTTTGAGAACCAGGCACGTGCTATGAGCTGGCCACGTAAGCACTGGGCTACCTTGTTGCACACAGCTTTGACAGGAAGAGCTCAAACTTGTACTGCTGCTTTACCATTTGTCAAGTACATTAGTTATGACGCTGTCAAACTATTCTAGAGACATATAACTTGTTGCCTGTAAGTTATCAACGTGCATTTCGTACATTACAACGACGACAAGATCAAACTTGTGTAGAGTTTGCTCGTGAGAAAAAAGTTGCATTTGAGAGGTGGTGTAGGTCTGCCAAATGTAACAACTATGACAGCCTAGTTCAGTTGTTACTACATGAAGAATTTAACAACTGCATGTCTGATGACATACAAGAATATCTGATCGATCATACTACCTCGAATATTCTGGAAACTGCAGCATTAGCAGACAATTACGAGATTTCTCAAAAACTTGTACATACTAAAACACACAGAAACAAGGTAACTAAAAGTTGTCCTAGAAGTTGGCAACCTAAATCAGCTGCTCATTGCCGGCCTGATGTACCTGCTACTGTAACTTCTCGTACCTTTACCAGGAAAACTTACAATCCTGAATATGTCTCTGTGGCTAGACAGAAATCTGATATTGAGAAGAAAGTTAAATGTACCTATTGTAACAGAAAAGGACATGCTAGAGAGTATTGCTATAAGTTAGAAAGAGATACAAGAAGCAGTCGTGCGGCTGACGCCCCCACACAAGTCGTATCCTCTTCAAAGCTACAAAGGCACCAAAATCCTAGTAATACCTCTGATCCTAGTGTTTTAGATAATGTTACTCAGGATAGATGACTAGCATCAGAGAGTGTATCTGACGAAAAGATTCGTTCAGCGATGAGTCCTTACTTTTCGAGAGGTAAAGTAGGATTTGACGAATCACATCTGAGATAATTACTTTCAGAGACACTGGCCATTATCTCACATTATTAAGAGAAGATATACTGCCCATAACTAATGATACCTATTGCAAGATAGATGTATCGTTAGAAGCCTATGGAGGGGCTGTTATGAAAGTACCTCTTCACAAAATATACATTGAAACAAGCTATTATACTGGTTATATTTCAGTGGGTATATCCAGTGGTGTATTTCCCATCAGGTCAGTGGACTTGTTGACAGGGAACGATATCCTTCATGCAGGTATATGTAAAGAACCACTTGTGATTGATAATAGCACTGATGATAATTATGCCATTGAAGCTTGTAGAGAGAAACCTACTTTATTTCCTCTCAGCACAATTACTAGAGCTAAGATAAGATAAGATAAGATTTCGTTCGGATTTTTAATCCCCGGAGGGTTAGCCACCCAGGATAACCCAAGAAAGTCAGTGCGTCATCGAGGACTGTCTAACTTATTTCCATTGGGGTCCTTAATCTTGTCCCCCAGGATGCGACCCACACCAGTCGACTAACACCCAGGTACCTATTTGCTGCTAGGTGAACAGGACAACAGGTGTAAGGAAACGTGTCGAAATGTTTCCACCCGCCGGGAATCGAACCCGGGCCCTCCGTGTGTGAAGCGGGAGCTTTAGCCACCAGGCCACCGGGCTATGTCAAAGATTCAACAACCATCCTTGTCTCCTGTTGAGTTAGTGGATGACAATGATTTGGGCTTGAATATGTTGTTTAGTGACGCTCTGCACCCAGGATCATTAACATTGACTCCTCCCAGTCATCCACCTAGTCAGGACACAACTGACGTTAAATTTCTAACTCGTGATGATTTAATCAAGGATCAGTTTGTTGATCAGTCACTGGAAAGACAGAGATATAGCAGTTACTGAGAGTGAAGCAAAGGATCTCGATAATTGTTACTATTATAGTAACGGTGTACTGATGGAGAAAAATACATGTAAGTTGTCAGCTGATAGTGTTTCCACCACAGTCAAGCATCTCGTAGTGTTACCAGTTACATTTCGTGAACAAGCCATTGATTTTGCTCACAATAGTCCCATTGGAGGACATTTGGGTGTCAAGAAGACACTCGGTGAACTGGCAAAACATTTTACTTGGCCAAAAATGAAGGAAACAGTAGCTGATCATGTGCGACGTTGCCACGTGTCAAGTGACAGACAAGCCAGCATACACACCTCCACCTACACCTCTCACTGTGTTCATTAGTAGCAAAGTTCAATTCATCAGGACTAGAGATTGTTCAGACTCGTTCAAAAGGTTGAAGCATCTGCTTTCCTCTGCTCCAGTGAGGAGTCCTAATTTCAATCTTCCCTTCTTTTTACGTATAAATGCGAGTGTTATGCAGTGGGTGTTGTGCTGCTCCAACAGTCAACATCCACTGACATTCTCCATCCTATATGTTACTATTCATCTAAGCTTTAACGACACCAGAAAAATTATGCCACTATTGAGAAAGAGGCTCTAGCTCTTGTGGTGTCTTTGGAACATATTGACGTGTATTTGGGCACTTCCCCATTTTAAATTAACGTGAATTTTATGCCCAAATGCCTTTTGTTACTTGCCATGTCAAATTCAGTAAAGTAACGTAATCCCTCCAGCCCATATTAACTAGGAGTACTCATGTCATGTCTAATTATTATATTTATATATTCACAGTAGTGATGTGTATGAGGAGACATAAGCTGAGTGATGAGTGGGTAGCGTCGTGTGGGCGATGTTACTGCTTGGCGGAACACTGTCCTGCTGCAGACCCCCACCCTTCACTACACACCTTAAGCTCTTTCTATATATATATATATGTCGTGCCGAATAGGCAGAACTTGCAATCTTGGCTTAAATAGCAACGCTCATCTTGCCATATAGGACAAGTGAAAATTTGTGTATGCAATAATTTCGCCAAAATCATTCTGAACCTAACGAAAAAAATATATTTCACTGTGTTTGTTTAGTATTTAATTATTGTAAACAAATCTAAGATATATTTAGTTGGGTTAGGCTAAAATAAATTGCGCTTGTTATAATAAGGTTAGGTAAGTTTTCTAAGTTCTTTTTGGTTCAAAATTATAAATTTTTACATGAACATTAATGAAAAAAATATATCTTTAAACGTATAAAAGAAAATTTTAGAAAGAACTTAATTTTAAATGAGTTCTTGCTAATTGACCAGTTTTACATATTCGGCACGACATATATATATTAATATATATATATATATATATATATATATATATATATATATATATATATATATATATATATATATATATATATATATATATATATATATATTTATATGCAAAACAACCACTCTGAAAGAATAGAGAAATTCCAAGCGCTTTCGTGACTACTCACATTATCAAGGAACTATAGTTCCTTGATAATGTGAGTAGTCACGAAAGCGCTTGGAATTTCTCTATTCTTTCAGAGTGGTTGTTTTGCATATTCTGAAATCACCTGTTTACTGTGATCTTATTGCATATATATATATATATATATATATATATATATATATATAATATATATATATATATATATATATATATATATATATATATATATATATATATATATATATATATATATTATATATATATATATATATATATATATATATATATATATATATATATATATATACATTTAATTGATATATTTCCCTTTAAAACATTAATTTTGAAATGAATATCACCATCAACGAATAACATTCCATAAGACCCTTTCTATTTAAAATATAAATTTTCATAACCCCTCAGTTTATATATATAAATATCACCAAAAATTATTTGGTGAATATTTATACATATTTTTATTTCAGAGCGGCCATCTTGGCTGTCATCTCGACTATGTGGATATGAAAAAAAAGAGGAAATCAATTATGTTATTATGAGGGTTTTATCCAACAACTGTCAGCAGCTAAGAAACTATATTTGTGAGTTTTTCGTTCACGTTCTTCCCTGCGGGACTACACTGTCATTCCTGGAGTAAGAGTGAGAGGCTTACCTGTGGAACGTCCCCGCTTCCTGTTCCTGGCGGAGGATGTGTGAGGGAGCAGTGAGAGCACCACCACCACCACCACCACCACTTTCAGTCTCGCCCTCACCAACATCTGTAGAGAAAAAAAGTATATGTGATTTGCCTTTTGTCTGGAAACTGTTTACTTCGAAAATATTTTCTTTGTAATCTGCTGTTATGAATGTCTGCAATGTTCAAGCTGATTTTACATAGCTATATAAATAATTCCCAAAAATGATGTTTAAAATCTTATTAAATTTTAATGAGACGTATTCTGGTTTACAAAAATAATTATTTCCCACACTAATTAATGTTAACACATCAGCTATTTTCTACCAAAGCAGTGTGACGCAAAGATGAAAGCAGATTCATCATTATTCAAGCAACAGATTTCTTTCTAAAAAGATACAAACACCACAGCCCCGTCGGCCGTTTCCCACCGAGGGAGGGTGACCCAAAGAGAAAGAAAAAACTTTCATCATCATTCAACATTTTCACCATTACTCATACATAATCACTGTCTTTCCAGAGGCGCTCAGATACGACAGTTTAGATGTCCTTCCAAAATGGCAATATCCCAAACCCCTCTTTTAAAGATCATGTATTGTACTTCCCACTTCCAGGACTAAAATCCAGCTAACCGGTTTCCCCGAATCCCTTCAAAAAATATTACCCTGCTCACACTCCAACTGCTCGCCAGGTCCCAAAAGCCATTCGTCTCCATTCACTACTAACGCACTCACGCATGCTTTCTGGAAGATAAAGCCCACAAAACCTCCTTTACCCCCTTCCTCCAACCTTTTCGAAGACGACCCCTACCTCGCCTTCCTTCCCCTACAGATTTTTACGCTCTCCAAGTCATTCTGCTTTGTTCCATTTCCTCTAAGTGACCAAACCACCTCAACAACCCCTCTTTAACCCTCTGACTAATACTTTTAGCAACACCCTATCTCTTTCTAATTGGCACACTACTAATTCTCTGAGTAATATTTACACCAAACATTGCTCCTAGAGACAACATTTCCACTGCTTCCAGCCTCCTCTTCGCTGCAGCATTTATAACCCATGCTTCACACCCATATAAGAGTGTTGGTACCTCTGTACTCTAGTACATTCCCTTCTTTGCCTCCATGGAAAACGTTTTTTGTCTTCACAGATACTTCAATGTACAACTCACCTTTTTTCCTTTATCGGTTCTTTAATTTAACCTCATCCTTCATAAACACATCTGCTGACAAGTCAGCTCCCGAATGTCTGAGCACATTCACTTCTTCCATACTCCTTCTGTCCAATATGAAATCCAATATATCTTATTCTAAATCGTTTGATACCCTCATCACCTTACTCATATCTATGTTCACTATCAACTTTCTTCCTTTACACACCCTCCCAAACGGGTCCACTAAGCTTTGCAACTTTTCTTTAGAATCTCCCTAAAGAACAGTATGAACAGCAAAAAGTATCTAAGTCAACTCGCATTTTGTATTTGATTCCCCGTAATTTAATCCCGTATGTATAAATATATATATATATATATATATATATTTATTTATATATTATATATATATATATATATATATATATATTATATATATATATATATGCAATAAGATCACAGTAAACAGGTGATTTCAGAATATGCAAACAATCACTGTGAAAGAATAGAGAAATTCCAAGCGCTCTCGTGACTACTCACATTATCAAGGAACAGTTTCTCTATTCTTTCACAGTGGTTGTTTTGCACACATATATATAATATATATATATATATATATATATATTATATATATATATATATATTATATATATTATATATTATATATATATATATATATATATATACATGTATATATTATATTATATTTATATATATATATATATTATATATATATATATATATATTATATATATATATATATTTATATATTTATATATATATATATATATATATTATATATATATATTTATATATATATATATATATTTATATATATATATATATATATATATATATATATATATATATATATATATATATATATATATATATATATGTATATATATATATATATTGCTGGACCACGGGTCCAGCCTATCCAGGTCTCTTTGTAGTCCTGCCTGATCCTCATCGGATTTAATCCTTTTCATTAGCCTCATATCATCTGCGAACAGGGACACTTCAGAGTCTATCCCTTCCACCATGTCATTCACATATATCAAAAATAGCACTGGTCCTGGGACTCACCCCTGTGGTACCCCGCTCGTCACAGGACCCCACTGTGATACCTCGCTACGTACCATGACCTGTTGTTGCCTCCATGTCAGGTATTCTCTGATCCATTGCAGTGCCCTTCCTGTTATACGTGCATGATCCTCCAGCTTCTGCACTAATCTCTTGTGAGGAACTGTGTCGAAAGCCTTCCTGTAGTCCAGGAAAATGCAATCAACCCACCCCTCTCTCTCGTTTCTTACTTCTGTTACCTTGTCATAAAACTTCAGAAGGCTTGTGACACAGGATTTGCCTTCCATGAATCCATGCTGGTTATTGTTAATAATCGTGTTTCTTTCCAGGTGCTCCACCACTCTCCTCCTGATAATCTTGTCCATGACTTTGCATGCTATACATGTCAGAGACACTGGTCTGTAGTTTAGTGCCGCATTTGTCTCCTTTCTTAAAAATGGGGACTACATTTGCCGTCTTCCGTACCTCAGGTAGTTGCCCAGTTTCAAGGGATGTACTGAAGATTGTGGTTAGTGGCACACACAACATCCCTGCTCCTTCTCTAAGGACCCACGGGGAGATATTGTCCGGACCCCTCGCCTTTTAGGTATCGAGTTCACTTAGCAGCTTTTGCACCTCCTCCTCCGTTGTTTGTATGTCTTCCAGCACCTGGTGGTATGTTCCCTGTTGGTGTTCCCCTCTGTGCTGTCTTCTCGGAACCATTCCTGTCTCTACTGTAAATACTTCCTTAAATCTCCTGTTGAGCTCCTTGCATACCTCGTGATCGTTACTTGTGAGTTCCCCACCTTCTTTCCTCAGCCTTATCACTTAGTTTTTGACTGTTGTCTTCCTCCTGATGTGGCTGTACAGTAGTTTCGGATCTGACTTGACTTTCGACTAATCTCCTTATTTTCCTGTGTTCTTAGCCTTCTGTACGTTTTCCATGCTCTATTGCACTTGGTTTTTGCCTCCTTACACCGTCGGGAAAACCAGGGGCTCGTTTTGGTCTTCCCATTAATTCTGTTGCCCTTGGGAACAAACCTTTACCCTGTCTTCTTATATTTTCTTGTTGTGTGTGTGTGTGTGTGTGTCCACTGTCTTTTTAATATATATTTTTTTTTTTTTTTTTTTTTTTTGTGTGTGTGTGTGTGTGTGTGAGAAGGAGTGGGAGTGTGGGTACCGTAGAGTGTGTGTACGGGGAGTGGGAGCATATATGGGGAGAGGGAGTATATGTTAGTGTGTATGTATGTGTGTGTGTGTGTACTCACCTAATTGTATAAACCTATTTGTGGTTGCAGGGGTCGAGTCATAGCTCCTGGCCCCGGCTCTTCATTGGTTGCCACTGGGTCCTCTCTCTCCCTGCTCCATGAGCTTTATCAAACCTCGTCTTAAAACTATGTATGGTTCCCGCCTCCACTACGTCACTTTCTAGGCTATTCCACTGCCTAACAACTCTGTCACTGAAGAAATACTTCCTAACAACCCTTTGACTCATTTGAGTCTTCAACTTCCAATTGTGACCTCTTGTTTCTGTGTCCCCTCCCTGGAACATCCTGTCTTTGTCCACCTTCTCGATTCCGCGCAGTATTTTATATGTCGTTATCGTCGTTATCATGTCTCCCCTGACCCTCCTGTCCTCCAGTGTCGCCAGGCCAATTTCCCTTAACCTTTCTTCATAGGGCATTACCCTTAGCTCTGGAACTAACCTTGTCGCTAACCTTTGCACTTTCTCTAATTTCTTGACGTGCTTGATCAAATGCGGGTTCCAAACAGGTGCTGCATACTCCAGTATGGGCCTTACGTACACGGTGTACAGCGTCTTGAACGATTCCTTACTAAGGTATCAGAACGCAGTTCTCAGGTTTGCCAGGCGCCCATATGCTGCAGCAGTTATCTGGTTGTGTGTGCTTCCAGAGACATGTTCGGTGTTATACTCACCCCAAGATCTTTCTCATCGAGCGACGTTTGCAGTCTTTGGCCACCTAGCCTATACTCCGCCTGCGGTCTTCTGTGCACTTCCCCGATCATCATGACTTTGCATTTGGCGGGGTTAAATTCGAGAAGCCAGTTGCTGGACCAGATGTCCAGTCTGTATAGGTCTCTTTGAAGTCCTGCCTGATCCTCATCTGATTTAATTCTCCTGATTAACTTCACATCATCTGCGAACAGGGACACCCTTCCATCATGTTCACATATATCAAAAATAGCACTGGTCCTAGGACCGACTCCTGCGGAACCCCGCTCGTCACAGGTGCCCACTGTAATACCTCATCACGTACCATAATTCGTTGCTGCCTCCCTGTCAGGTATTCTCTGATCCATTGCAATGCCCTTCCTGTTATATGCGCCTGATCCTCTAGCTTCTGCACTAATCTCTTGTGAGGAACTGTGTCGAAGGCCTTCTTGCAGTCCAAGAAGATGCAATCAACCCACTCCTCTATCTCGTGTCTTACTTCTGTTACTTTATCATAAAACTCCAGAAAGTTTGTGACACAAGATTTGCCTTCCATGAATCCGTTCTGGTTGGCCTTTATACTCTTGTTTCGTTCCAGGTGCTCCTCCACTCTCCTCCTGATAATCTTCTCCTTAACTTTGCATACTATACACGTCAGTGACACAGGTCTATAGTTTAGTGCCTCTTTTCTGTCTCTTTTTTAAAAAATGGGCACTACATTTGCCGTCTTCCATACCTCAGGTAGTTGCCAGGTTTCCAGGAATGTGTTGAAGATTGTGGTAAGTGGCACACACAGCATATCCGCTCCCTCTCAAAAGTCCCACGGGGAGATGTTGTCCGTTCCCATTGCCTTTGAGGTATCGATGTCCATTAGCAGCTTCTTCACCTCCTCCTCATTTATTTGTATGTCATCCAACAC